GGGGGGGCTTGCTTGGTTGCTGGGGTGTATAGGCAGCTGCGGGGTGTATTTTGTGTGTTTTGTGTTAAATTCTGCTTTGTTTGTGTATAATGTTTTATTTTTATTTATTTTTATTAAATATAAAAAATATTTTTGTTGTTTTTTAGGGTTTATAAAGAAAGAGCAGCAGAAGGATAATATATATAAGAAAGGAGAGGCTGAGCGGTGGGGGGTAGCCGGCGGCTTGCTGCTGCTGCTGCTGCTGCTGCTGCTGCTGCTGCTGCTGCTGCTGCTGCTGCTGCTGCGTGCATTGTATATAAGTTGCTGCTTAAATTTAATAAAATTTATTAATATTTATATAATTGTGAAAACAAAAACATAAAAAGCTGCTGCAGTTGTTGCTGCTGCTGCTGCTGCCGACGCGAGGCCTTTGCAGCAGTGTGGAGCAGCATCAGCAGCAGCAGTGGCAGCAGCAGCAGCAGCAGACCCTTGGGAGCAGCAACAGCAGCAGCAGCAGCAGCCGCAGCAGCAGCAGCAGCAGCAGCAGCAGCAGCTGCTGCTGCTGCTGCTGCTGCTGCTAGTTGTTTTTCTTTCATACAAAAATGGGGTCTTTGCTGCCCCCTAATACGGCGCCGGCTGGAAATACAGCAGAAGTGGAGTATACCCCTTCAGTGAGCTTTTGCTGCTGCTGCTGCTGCTGCTGCTGCTGCTGCTGCTGCTGCTGCTGCTGCTGTTGCTGTTGCTGCTTGTGTTGCTGTTTATAAAGGAGTTGCTGCTGCTCTTTATACAGCCCCTTATTGCTGCTGCAGAGCAGCAGCAGCTAAGTAAACCCTAAACCATCAAAAACCCTAGTTTTGTTTTTCTTTGGGGGGGGAATGCAGCAGCAGCTGCTGCTGCTGCTGCTGCTGCAGCGGCCTCAGAGCTCGAGGGTTTAGGGTTTAGGGTTTAGGGTTTAGGAGCTGTGGGCTTGCTGCTGCTGCTGCTTAAACCCTTTTGCTTCTGTTTGCATGCGTCTGGCTTTTTATACTCTTTCTTATAGCAATGAGTCTTGCTGCTGCTGCTGCTGCTGCTGCTGCTGCTGCTGCTGCTGTTGCTGCTGCTGCTGCTGCGGTTGCTGCTGCAGGAGGGTGGGGTAGGCAGTACCTGCGTGGGTTCCAGCAGCAAGACAAGAATTGATCAGGTAAACCCTAAACCCTAAACCCTAAACCCTCGGCGGTGTTTGTTGCTTACAACATACCGCTGGGGTCTTGGGGCCTCCCGGTAAGTAGAATGAGGGTTTGGGGGTTTGGGGGGAGGGGGAGGTCTAGGGTTTAGGGTTTAGGGTTTAGGGTTTAGGGTTTAGGGTTTAGGGTTTAGGGTTTGGGGGTTGCGAGGGTTGTTTCTATACAACTACCAATAGTTTAGGGTTTAGGGTTTAGGGTTTAGGGTTTAGGGTTTGCTCGGCTGCTAGTGGCTAGCGCTAGTTATACACCTAGACATATATACATATACATATACATGTATATATTTTATTTTTATTTATTTTTTTTTTTATATTATATATATACATATCTATATATATATATCTCTCTTTATATATATATCTTTATATATATATTTATATATATATATATATCTATATATATATANATATATATATATATATATATATATATATATATATATATATATATATATATATATAAATATATATATATATTTATATATATATTTACATATATATATAAATATATATATTTCTGTATTCTATAACCCTCACCTACATATATATTTTTTTTTGTTTTTTTTTGTTTTGTTTTGTTTTTTAATTTATTATTTTATTGCTGGGTAGGGGCTGTCTTGTCGCGGTCTTGCTACAGACAAACGATGGGTGTGGAGAGAGAGGACAAAAGTGAGCAGCAGCAGCAGCAGCAGCAGCAGCAGCAGCAGCAGCAGCAGCAGCAGCAGCAGAGGCAGCAGCAGCAGCAGCAGATGCAGCAGAGGCACAAGCAGATACACAACAAGATATGAAGCAGAGGATATTGCAGCAGCAGCAGCAGCAGCAGCAGCAGCAGCAGCAGCAGCAGCAACAGCAACAGATGCAGCAGCACTAGTAGTAGCAGCAACAGCACTTAGTAGTTTTCTCGTAAACAGCAGCAGCAGCAGCAATGGAAGCAGCAGCAACAGCAGCAGCAGCAGCAAAAACAAACTGCAGCAGCAGCAGCAGCAGAAGCAGCAAGACCAACAGGCCAGTAGAAGTTAAACATAAGCTGTTTGCTGTTGCTTTTCTTGTTGTTGCTGCTGCTGCTGCTGCTGCTGCTGCTGCTGCTTGTGTGTTTGCTGCTGCTGTTTGTGTGCGTGTGCTGCTGCTGCTGCTGCTGCTGCTGCTGCTGTTGCTGCTGCAGGCCTGACTTTAAGGCTGCTCCTTGCTCTCGCTTTATGAGGGGAAGATGCCATGCCGGCTCAAACTGCAAATACGCTGTAAATGCTGCTGCTGCTGCTGCTGCTGCTGCTGCTGCTGCTCCTGCTGCTGCTGCTGGGGTTGCTGCTGTTGCTGGGGTTGCTGCTGCTGCTGCTGCTGGGGTTGGTGCTTCTGTTGCTGCTGGTACTGCTGTTGTTTCTGTTGCTGCTGGTATTTCTGCTGCTGCTGCTGCTGGCATCTCTGCTGCTGCTGCTGCTGCTTGTTGGAGTTACTTGCTTCTGTTGTATTTGTTTCACATATATATTGTTGCTGCTGCTGTGTTTGTGTTGCTGCTGCTGCTGCTGCTGCTGCTGCTGCTGTTGCTGTTGCTGCTGCAGCACTCAGCAGCAGAGCTGAGGCCTTCACCGCAAGATGAAGGGGGGCCCCTCCCTGCTGCTCTGAAGAGCAGCAGAAGGGGGGCCCCCCATGGGGGCCCCCAC